AATCAGAGCACACCTCGCTTTTCAGAACGATGAACTTTGTAAAAATCGACGAGTTTCAGAAAGGCGGGGCATAGAGGAGAAACAATAATGTACAGTATGTGGAAAATAATGTGTTTTTTGAACCTTAAACCGAATAAACACATTTCATTACACCAAATACACAAAATAATGTTCTTTTTTTAGCAACGTCATATGACCCCTTTAACACGCATCTGACTTCTGTGATATTCCTAAAATCAGTCTTTTTGTTTGCATCTCTTTAATTGAAGTGAAGCTCGTTGCAGATATCGAATGTGGTAGTCCATGTCCTTTCTCTCATTTTAAATGTAATTTATTCTGGCATGTAAGGAGAAGCCCCTCAGCACTGCTCCTCTTTTTTGAGTCTCATTTGAAGTTCTCGCTGGAAATTACTTTTTTTATCTGAGTATATAAATTGTGCTGTGTTCATCTTCATTTCACTTGTGGGCATGATGGGGAAAAGGTCATCGCAACTTAATCTGGATGTTAAAATATGGCATTCATGACACTGGCACTGTGCTATGTTTATTAGTGTGCAGGAACAGTCAATTATATCATTGTTCAGTTCACTTCTTAGGCAATATGCTTGCTTTTTGTATGAATAACGACTTATATTACAGTCTGTTGGGATATTTCGTTGAATGGTTTAGGGTTGGTAAGATTTTGTAATCTCTTCTGCTCACCAAGGCTGCATTAATTTGACCAAAAATACAGTAAAATAGTAATATTGTGACACATTATTACAAATTAAAATAACTGTTTTGTATTTCATATTTTGTAAAATGTAATTTATTCCTGTGATGCAAAGCTGAATTTTCAGCATCATTACTCCAGTCTTCAGTGTCACATGATCCTTCAGAAATCAATCTAATATGCTGATTTCCTGTGCAAGAAGCTTCTTATTATTATCAGTGTAAACGGTTATACTTTTTTTCAGGATTCTTTGATGAACGGAAAATTCAAAATAACAGCATTAATTTGAAACAACTGAAAATAAAACAAAACGTATTTACCTGCCACTATTAATTAGTTTAATGCATCATTGCTGGAAAAAAAAAGTATACTTTAAAAATGTATGGACTACTTTTATGGCGTTTTGTCATTTTTGGCAGGGATTTTGCCAACCCTAACCTCTGTTCACTTTCATTGTATGCATGAGAGCAGCATGAACATTTTGTTAAATACAGGGTATATACAGGAATCATGGAGTTAAAATTAATACCTTTTAAGACCTTTTTTAATGCATCCCAAGCCCATGCCAGTAAAAAAAAAAACAGCCCAAAGTAGTACAATTACTATGTCCCAAATATAAAAATGTCATTTCCATCCCTTAAATACATATTTTACAGTCACTATTATGCACATTTATTGATCACTTCCATTTGGAATCTGCCCTGTGAACAGTTCGGTACCGATACTCGTATCGGCACATTTAGTGATAATAAAGGAAGCGCGCTGCTCGCATTCTGCCATGCCAAACCATGCACGCAGCAGCCCATGCTTGCTTTTCTGTTAAAAAATAACAGTGGTTTGTGATTGTGAATGTTGATACTCAGCCTAAATAACAAATATTTTATCGGGAGCATTTATGCTGGGATGTTGTGGAGCTTAGGAGATGTTACAGAACCATTTCACGTAAATTTCTTCGATGTCCTGAAAAAAAAATCTATATAGTTTTCTTTTATGCGGGCTTTTTCGGGTGGGGGCGGGACAAAACATGAATGTCGCGGGCGGGAGCGGGACCAGATAAGATATATTTCTGCGGAAGCGCGCAGGCCTCTAGAGTGTGGAGCTGAACAGTAGCGCTCACTGCAGGACAGATGGAGGCGCCGCTGCGCTCACTTGCTCTTAAAATACTGGTAATTTTTGCTCATACAGATAAGAGTAATACATCTTTCAAATCTGTAAAGACGTTTATTTGTGTGCACTCACAATAAAAACAAATTGCGCTTTTGTGAAATAATGAAAGCAAACAGGATGCGCTTTCTGCCATCTCGTTCTCTGTGAACTTGAGCGCGAAACACCGTGTAGCCTATATCTTTACCTTACGGACATGAAAAATATATCTATAGAGAGTGAAATGTCTACTTTCAAATGAACCAATTCAAATGGAAAACAAATATTCTCAGATTATGTAATCCGTGTGAAACATGAATACAGGCGCAGCAGTACTGCGGAGATGACAAGTCAGTCGACCTCATCTCTTAAACCGAAAACAAAGAAAGCGCTAGTTTATAAAATTATTAAAATGTTAATGCAGTCTCTTTACTGTTATTCACTGACACATTCATAACCATTACTTCTGCCGGTGCGCTGTGACAAGCTTTATTTGTGCACTTGAGCGCATATTAGGCTACATAGGCAATTAAAGGCTCATAATAATGATTTAAATGGTTCATTAATAAACGTGCGATTAGTCGACTAATGCTTAAAATGAACGACTACTAGTCGACCAGAAAAATCCTTAGTCGAGGACAGCCCTAATATATATACGTATATATATATATATTCTGACCCCAAAATTTGAACATTGAGTATTTAGTACCATTAATTAAAAATTCTGAAATATCAATGGTTGCACTACATGACTTTGATACTGTATGCTAGACAAAAACTTTCTAAATATTTGTAATATTTTAACAAAACTGTCATACTTTATAGAGACTTTTCTTCATTACACTATCAGAACACTTGTACCATTCAAACATATTTATGTAATTAATTGTGAATAGTTTATTATAAAAAGCAAATATGACTATTATTGACTACTATTATTTTTTATTTCATCTTGACTAAAGGCTCGTTCACAAAAGGCAGTTAACTATATAGATTTAATAATCACTGTAATTCTATGAGAATAGGGAAGTTCACACCACAGTTATAGCAACAACCACACAGAAGAACGATAACATTAGTGAATCACTTTCAGAACAATTTTTTCTTTTCCCAGCTGATCAATGATAAAAACGTTGATGGGCAATCTCAAGCATTTGAAGTGGGAGATGACATAACTGCAGCCTTCTCTTTATCATCTGTTGGTATGGACGTTAATATGGTTATCGTTCTTTGTGTGAATGAGCCTTAAGTTGTACATAATGTGATGCCTGTGTGTGTTTCTAACCTTGTACACATAGAGGTATTCCCTGAGGAAAGCAGTCTGCTGTACAGCCGACTGTTTGCTGTCGTTGATGAGAATGTGCCGGAAGGCGGCCACTGCGTTGTCTGGCTGCCGCAGAGTGAAGGACTGCCGACCGATGGTGAAGTTGATGTGATCTTCAGCCAGTGCCCAACCTTTACCTTTATACACCTGCAAAGCCTGGCAGTAGCACCTCAATGCATGTCTCTTCTGTAACAGAAAGAGAGACAGTGTGAACTGACTGACATATTAAAAGACTGCGTCTGTATCCGTGAGAGCGCTTCATATTACTGCGTCAATAGCTTTCACAGCTGTTAAAGCAACATCAGCTTCCAGGTGAAAATTGACAGCCTGACCTCATCTGACTTAGTAAACAGCTTTTTCTGATCACTTCAGAGCCAGTGCCTTTTCAGATGTCTTGTAAGCTTTTGATTAATTCATGGCAATAAGCAGCAAACTTAGATGAGTCAATCAAACTTTATCAGTTAGCAAGGTATCAGCATTTGACACTCAAGATGAGGCCTGGCATAATGGTCACATAATAGAGCAAGAGTATGTATGTTTCCGAGGGGTGGGCGATATGATCAATAACTCATATCACAATATGAATAATTTTAGTTCACGTTAACGACATGCATCACAAAATAATGGTTTTTGCTTTAAATAAAGTCTTTATGATATCAACATTTTTGATTCAAATATCATAATATGATATAAATATCATAATTCTTGTCACCAGTGTCAACATCTTTAAAAAAAACTAATACTAGCCTAAAGTAAAAAAAAAAGTCACTGAAGACAAGTAAACAGTCAGCAATTAAATAAGAATAAGAAACTAATTACAAGCAACAGGACAAAAAACTACAGTAGAACAATTAAATAAGAAATGCTACATTGTATAAAGTAATCAAATATATAAAAACACTGCATATTCGTCACTGTGTAAACAAAATATATTTCTTCTTATTAAAGTTACAAAAGTCAGAATCAGAATCAGAATGAGCTTTATTGCCAGGTATGTTTACACATACGAGGAATTTGTTTTCGTGACAGAAGCTTCCACAGTGTAACAGAATGACAGTGACAGAACAAAAAAACACAGATAATAAAAAATAAAAATAAATAAAAAATAAAAAATAGAACAAGTAAAATAAGGAATAAAAAATATACAAACCGACAATTGTATGTACAGGTATAGAACAATAAACAACTGCGGAGCACGCCACGGAGGCAGCCATCAGCGTCGGCACCATCGCCATCCATTATACAGTTAACAAAAGCAAAAAAGACCTCTAACACTAGCTTGCTCTATTCTTTTTCTATTCTATCTATTCTGTTTTCTTTTCATTTATTATATTATTTAAAAAAAACCTTGCTACGTGTACTGCGTCTGTCTAGATGTTGCAGAACATAATGCAGTCCCATGTTTACTGCATCGTCCACAGACCTGTTTGCTCTGTAGGCAAACTGAAGAGGATCCAGTAAGGGTCCAATAATGCCCTTCAGGTGGGCCAGCACCAGTTTTTCAAAAGACTTCTTGACTAAAGACTAAGTGATTTAGTCAAGAGCAGTGAGAGATATTCTCTCTTTTGTTGTTTGATTAACATGAATGACAGACAGCAGGAATTTTAGACTGCTGTCCTTTTAAGAGCTGCCCGGATCCAAGTCAAGTCACCTTTATTTATATAGCGCTTTTAACAATACAGATTGTGCCAAAGCAGCTTTACAGTATTAAACCGGAAAAATAGTGTGTCAATAATGCAAAAGGACAAGAGTAAACACTCAATTTTCAGTTAAAGGCAGTTCATCATTGAATTCAGTGATGTCATCATGCAGCTCAATTCAGTTTAAATAGTATTTGTGCAATCAAGTCGACGATATCGACCAATATACTGTTACACATGTTTTCTTTCTCAGCTGTTTGCTTTCACTTAATACCTAAATTACTGTGTTTATGAGGATACTTGCAAAGATGGGCATTTTGACACATAAAAGTGTGTATTTAACTATTCAAGGCCTATAAAGCGGCAAAAATAACTCAGAAACAGTCTCCCAGACAACGCGCACATATAGCGAAATTAGTTCTCTTTCGCTGCTGATTGTGCTTCAACGGCTTAAAATCACTTGTTATTAAATCACAAAGCTTAAAAATGCTTGTAAACAATACGTTTTTATGACCACGTAGCACAGCAGCGTCAGCACGTGAGTGTGTAACCGCGATAGAGACGATAGTCAAAAAAATCTCTACCAGTTGACAAATTTCTACTGGTTAACCATGTCTACTGATATATCGTCCATCCCTAGTCGCAGGCTTTGCGAAATGAACATTACAATATATTTCTATTAGTGGTCCATTTAAATGGGTTTTTCGGTGGCTGATGCTAATATCTAGAGAGCAGGTTGGCTAGTGGCTGATTTTATGCTAATACCCAGCTAACAGGAATGCAAGGTTTTCTCAAAGTTATGAAGCAACATTTTTTGTTTTTTTTCTGAAACAATTTAAGTTGGATGTTCGTCTAACTTTTAAAAATGTTTTAATACTTATTAGTTTCGGATGGTTCAGAGAACATTTAAAACGAACTTTTCCACAATGTTTGCAAAATGATAAAATGGAACGTTCCCTTAATGTTTTCTGCAATGCTCACATAACATTTACGCCAGTTGGTGGCGACAAGTCTATAGACCTTTTTCACATTACCGCGTTTCTCAGCGGAAGTCATCATAGTTGGGTAAACTTTCGAGAGCAGAGAATGGGAGAGTACTACAAATAAATTTTTTGCATACCCATTTGCTGAAATAGCAAAAGAAAACTTCATGATAATGTTTTCAGAATCAGAATCAGAATCAGAATGAGTTTTATTGCCAGGTATGTTTACACATACGAGGAATTTGTTTTCGTGACAGAAGCTTCCACAGTGTAACAGAATGACAGTGACAGAACAAAAAACACAGATAATAAAAAATAGAACAAGTAAATAAGGAATAAAAATATACAAATCGACAGTTGTATGTACAGGTATATTATGTGCAAATTGAAATGTAGACTGAGTATGTGTGTTAGATAAATAAGTGTATGAGTGAATAAATAGTGTGTGTTCCACAGTTATTGTCAAGTGTTCATGAGATGGATTGCCTGAGGGAAGAAACTGTTCCTGTGTCTGGTCGTTCTGGTGCTCAGTGCTCTGTAGCGTCGACCAGATGGCAACAGTTCAAAGAGGGTGTGTGCTGGATGTGAGGGGTCCAGAGTGATTTTGCCAGCCCTTTTGCTCACTCTGGATGAGTACAGTTCTTGGAGAGAAGGGAGGGTTGTACCAATGATTCGCTCAGCAGTCCGGACTACCCTCTGTAGTCTTCTGAGGTCAGATTTGGTAGCTGAGCTGGATTCAATGATGGTGGAGTAGAACTGTTTCAGCAGCTCCTGTGACAGGTTGAACTTCCTCTGCTGGCGAAGGAAGTACAACCTCTGTTGGGCCTTTTTAACAATGGAGTCTATGTGAGTGTCCCACTTCAGGTCCTGAGAGATTGTGGTGCCCAGGAACCTGAATGACTCCACTGCAGTCACAGTGCTGTCCATGCTGGTGAGTGGGGGGAGTGCAGGGGGGTTTCTCCTGAAGTCCACGGTCATCTCCACAGTTTTGAGCGTGTTGAGCTCCAGGTTGTTGAGACTGCACCAGACAGCCAGCTGCTCGACTTCCTGTCTGTAAGCAGACTCGTCACCGTCCTGAATGAGGCCGGTGTCGTCTGTGTCGTCTGCAAACTTCAGGAGCTTGACAAAGGGGTCTTTAGAGGTGCAGTCGTTGGTGAAGAGCAGTGTCACTAGCTGCTGCCTGTCTGTCAGGAAGCTGTTGATCCACTGACAGACGGAGGTGGGCACGGAGAGCTGAGTTAGTTTGGGCAGGAGGAGGTTTGGGATGATGGTGTTAAAGGCCGAGCTGAAGTCCACGAACAGGATCCTCACATAAGTCCCTGTCTAGATGTTGCAGAACATAATGCAGTCCCATGTTTACTGCATCGTCCACAGACCTGTTTGCTCTGTAGGCAAACTGAAGAGGATCCAGTAAGGGTTCAATAATGCCCTTCAGGTGGGCCAGCACCAGTTTTTCAAAAGACTTCTTGACTAAAGACTAAGTGATTTAGTCAAGAGCAGTGAGAGATATTCTCTCTTTTGTTGTTTGATTAACATGAATGACAGACAGCAGGAATTTTAGACTGCTGTCATTTTAAGAGCTGCCCGGATCCAAGTCAAGTCACCTTTATTTATATAGCGCTTTTAACAATACAGATTGTGCCAAAGCAGCTTTACAGTATTAAACCGGAAAAATAGTGTGTCAATAATGCAAAAGGACAAGAGTAAACACTCAATTTTCAGTTAAAGGCAGTTCATCATTGAATTCAGTGATGTCATCATGCAGCTCAATTCAGTTTAAATAGTATTTGTGCAATCAAGTCGACGATATCGACCAATATACTGTTACACATGTTTTCTTTCTCAGCTGTTTGCTTTCACTTAATACCTAAATTACTGTGTTTATGAGGATACTTGCAAAGATGGGCATTTTGACACATAAAAGTGTGTGTATTTAACTGTTCAAAGCTTATAAAGCGGCAAAAATAACTGTTCAATACTCCTCTATGAGCGCCGTCTTCTCGTGCGCACGCCTCTCTGAGCTCAGCGCTCAGAAACAGTCTCTCAGACAGTGCGCGCATATAGCCAAATGAGTTCTCTTTCACTGCTGATTGCATTTTAATGGCTTAAAATTATTTATTTTTAAACAGCAATGCATAAAAACGTGTGCAAACGATACGTTTTCGTGACCACATAGCACAGCAACGTCACCTGAGTGTGTAACCGCAATAGAGATGATAGTCCAAAATCTCTTCTGGTTGAACAATTTCTATCAGATAATCGTGCCTACCGGTATATCACCCACCCCTAATGTTTCCCATTCATATCCACAGGTTTAAGCTTTAAATGTTCTCTTCTAAGTCGTTTTTAGGGTTTACTTACTAAACATTCTTTATCAGAGGTCACAATGACCTCATTCCATTGCATTTATGCACTGACCATGTCCCACTAATGGTTGAGAGGATTGGCTGCAATGGCTTTAAATGCTTAGAAAGTGATAAATCTATCCAATGCAGATCTCATCCACTTTGAGGATGTCATAAGGGAAAATATCTGTAATTTCAGCAGATGGCAGGTCTTCGATAAAATTATATTTTAATTATCTCAACTCTTGATCCATTTAATGCATTGCATATCAACCTTTTTTACTCCAAGGCCCTGCATTTTCAAAGACAAAATCTGAATACCCCTTATAATACATGTTTTATTACTGATTACTAATGCTGACAATGACAGACGCGTACATTTTAGTAAAGTGTTTCTTGTGTCTGCCGTCATACCTGTCCAGCTTTGCTGAAACGATGACCAGCAAGTATCATGTGGAAGGCAAACTTCCTCACCATGGGGCCACGCATATTAATGAAGCAGTGAGCCGCCTGCTCCAACAGGAGTGCGCTCCGCAGGTCAGAGTCCTAGCAGAGAGTGGAAAGAGGAAGTGATGTGAATTGGCATTTGGCCTAGCCAAAAACGTGAGTTTGAAGGGGAAAACAATTTAGTTTGAAATTGCACGCTTCTAAAACATTTGGTTTAGTTTTAGTAATTTAGATGTGACTCAGAAACGCTGTCAGTTGGGACTTGAGCTCACCTCACTGGTCATCTTGATCAGAAGTGTGGCGGCATCTGAGTATTTGGTCTGACTCTTCAAAATCTCAGCACTTAAAAGACAACACCGCTCAGCCAATAGCATGTTTCTGTGACAAAAACATAAAAAAAACCAATGTCTTACACACATCATATGCATGCAGGTTTCCAACTAAATCTGAATGATCTATCAAGTACTTAAGCATTTAAGCAACATAAACTGATGTCTGACCAAAAAACAGAAGCAACAACTAAAATTCATTTTATTTATTTAAAGTACTAATAAAATCAATAAAACAGAATCTCATTTAAAGTCTCAAAAAATTAAGCAAGAATGAAAATGTATATACATATTTATTTTAGTGCTGGGCAACGAGTAATTGCGAATAATCGAGGGCTGTCAATCGATTAAAAATATTTAATCGCGATTAATAGCATGATGGTTAAGACTTAACTCGTGCTTAAATCGCAACTTAATCGAACATTTTTATCTGTTCTAAATGTACCTTAAATTAATACTTTTCAAGTTTATAATACTCTAATCAACATGGGCATGGACAAATATGGATGCTTTATGCAAATGTATGTTTATTATTAGTGAAACCATAGTCAACATAGAGCATGAAGACTAGTCATGTTTCAAATAACTTGTTCATGTCTACTAGACACATGAAAAAAAGAGCATAGAAATACCAGGTTCCTATTACTTCGCTTTCTTTGCACTGAGCAATTTACTTACACAAGCCTGTTTACATTTTCGCAGACTTCTTCTGAACATGCAAAATGTACATTTATTATTTATTATTACATTTGTTTGCCTCTCTGTGCCCACATACTGTATTTTGATGCAGCTAAATTCTCAATAAAATGGTTGTCATTGATATATTTGACCGTTTCTGTTGTCATACTACAGAATGAATATGAAATAATGACTGAAACGCGACCGATTAAAACTACATAACCAGCTCTCCCTTCCAAGATGTTAATCTGCACAAAAATCCTGATTTATAATCGAGCCATCGTCTGATGAAATCAAATCAAATACACAGCTGTGATGTGATTTCGGCTATACTTGCATGTAAAATTAGAGAAGCAATATAATATGTGGTTTAACTGAAAGCGCTGCTCCTCTCAGCCGCTCACTGAACATAGCAGATGCAGAGAGAGAGGTGCGCGTGCAGCGGGAAAGAGAGACCTTGCACTCGAGCGGCAGTAATGGCGAGTCTCAGAAACGAAATAAGGTTTGTCCAATTATGTGTTATGTGTTGTTGAGTTGGCAACACTGTGCATCTCCATTTCTCCAACTACAGGCTAGGCAACGGGTCAAACAGAAAATGCGTGCTGCATTAATCGCTGTCATTAATCTGTAATTAATCGTTAATTGCTGTAGCAGTTGCAGTGTGTTTCAGAAACCCTCCACCTTCCCAGCTCCACCTGCTACGGGGTGATTCATGCATGCTATATATGGGGGTTATTTCATAGGGCTGGACGATTAATCGAAAAGAGATCGAAACCGGACGGTATTTTCTCATGTCAGTTATTTCGTTTTTTTAATCCATACTACCACGTGTGTAGTCGGTGCTATACGGACGTGTATGAGCATTGCGCTCGTGTCTTTTGCAGCGTCTCGCACGTGAGTGGCACGCTAAAAAAAATAATTGAAACTTTTACATGCAGCGCCGCTCATCAATGTCAGTTCCAAAACAGAAGACCCTGGAGGCGGGGCAAGCGTTACGAGCTTTTGTTTATAGCAGAGCCGGCTCTGGTTTACAGTAGTACTGCGAATCAAGCCACTCTGAGATGCTGCGAACACTGGCGGATAATGAGCTGCTCATGTGTAAAAACACACTTTACTCGCAGCACATATATTCACAGCATCTTTGATCTTATAATCGCACTAAGCCATAATCGCAGTTTCGATTTTATTTTGATTAATCGTGCAGTCCTAAGACCAACCAATAAAACCCCAATACAAACTACATTAATTGTGTGAGATTACTATCCACTGGCAGAAAAGCCCCGTTCACACTGCCAGCGACACACAGCGACAAGCTCCCATTAATTTTCAATGGAAAGCTGGCAACTTCCGGCGACACGAGCGACAGTGACCGTTGGCGACAGAATGTGGGCGTGTCAAGCGAGGCGAGTCAAGCGACAAAAGTTAAGAATTGTTTCACTTTATGCAAATGAACAGCGAATTTCGCGAGCGACAACCAATGGGAGTGAAGAATCTGTCAGTGGCGCTCACACGTCACCGTCTTGAGTGCAGGTGCCGCAAGACAGGTCAGATTTCCTGAGCGATTTCACAGTTTTATATGATTTTACTGTAACCACATACATGGATATAAGCAGCAGTTGGAACGCCCACAAGCATCTTCACAGCACAGAGTCTAGCGACATACAGCCAAAAAGTCGCTGGCAGCGTGAACGGGGCTAAAGAGGAGTGTGCATGCTGGGAAAGCAAGACCCCGTGCGGCAGTACTGGAGAGTCTCAGAAACTAAAAAGGTTTGTCATGATCTGAATCTTTTAAGTGTGACAAATATGCAAACAATTAAAAAAACAGGAAGGGGGCAAAAACTTTTTCACACCACTGTATGTGTGTACTGTGTATATTTATTATGCATATATAAAGACACACCCATACAGTATATATTTTGAAAATATTTAACTTTATTTACATGCATATATTTATATTCATATAATTTATATTATATATAAATATATTTAATATATAAACATAAAATTTTTCTTAAATATTTAAATGCATGTATGTATTTATACACAGTATAAATACACTTACAGTTATACACAGTACGCACACATATATTATGTACACAAAAACTTTTACTTTGGATGTTGGATTGTCCAGCACTAATTTATTTATTAGTTAAAAAATTTTTTTTTAACTCATTTCTATAAGCAACAAACTGATGTCTGACCTAAAAGATGAAGCAAAAATGACAACTGATTGATTTATTGATTGATGTAATAGCAAAATGTTAAAATACTGAACAAATTTCTAAAAGTCACACAAAGTGATGTCTGGTCTAAAAAAAGAAAGCAAGAATAAAAATGATTTTTTTTATTCATTTATTTTATAAAATAAAATGAAATAAAAAATAAAATTAAATTAATAATAATAATAATAAATACAATAAAAATAAAACAAAAAACTAATTTCTAAAAGCACATGAAGCAATGTCCGGCCTAAAAATGTCCAGCCTATTTATGATATCCAAGAACTAAAATAAATGTAATTTAAATTTAATTTATTCAAAAAAGAAAAAAAAAACATTAAAACAAAAACTGATGATGCTAAAACAGAAAGAAAAAAAAACAAACTCATTTTATGTATTAATTTATTCATTCGTTGATTTAAAATACTAATAAAAACAGTAAAGTACTAAACTTATTTTTGAAATTCAGTATGAAACACTGAAGCAAAAATTCAAATGGTTAGTTACTTAATGAATTACAATTCTCAAAATAAAGCAAGAACTAAAACGATATCTTAATTTTTAAAAGCATTAGATTTACTTAATTTTGTTTTTAAACATTTTACATTTAAAATACTAAAACAATTATACTATGTTACCAAATACTATATAAATGGGGGTGGGAGGAAAATGATTCCATATGAATCAACGAAGCAGTAACATGCTACAAAACCAAACGCAAGCGAATGCATGTTCTTACTTGCACACGTCTCTGTAGGTCTGAATGGCCGTGTCCATGTAGTGTGCTGGGTACGGCCTGGGTGCCCCACTCTGCAGAAAGGCAGCGACAGCAGCCATCTCCTGTAGAGACAGAGACAGCAGGCGAGTTCAGGCAGTACTACTCTGATAATCCACAGAAACAGAGCTAGAGTGCCTATCTGTGGAGCTAATCTCAAGCAGCAGCTGCACTATGACTGTGGTGTGCGTCTCACCAGTGCTCCAGCGGCATACAGCATGGCCTGGTCAGAGAGGAAGTCCTTCTTGGCAGTGTGGTAGCAGTTGTAGGCCAGCTCATAGTGCTGAACGAGGAAGCAGAGGTCGGCCATCTTCCTGATCTGAAGCTCTGGAGCCTCTGAGGGATAGCTGATATCACAGGGGTCAAGAGTCAGGTGAGAACAACAAAAACTATTTTATTTGTACTTCAAGTCACTTACAGCAGCCCTGCAGTGTTCTTTAGTTCAGCAATACTCTTCTCTGGGACCTTCCCTCCACCAAACAACTTCTTAGTGGCAGAGAAAAGAGATCGGCTCAGACCTTTTCTTGAGACAAGCTAGAATGAGAGATAAATAAAGATGAAGTAAATGCAGAACAAGTTTTAGAAATATATATATACAATATATACAGTGGTGGAAAGAGTACTGAAAAAATATACTCAAGTAAAAGTACCATTACCTTCCAAAAAATGTAGTGTGAGTAGAGTAAAAGTACTTGTCCAAAAAACTACTTGAGTAAGAGTAAAAGAGTAGCCTATCGCATTAAACACATTTCATTACACCAAATACACAAAAGAATGTTCTTTTTAGCAACATCATATGACCCCTTTAAGCATATTGGGTGAGGTTTATTTTGAAAATATGAAAACTGCTTTATTATGTATGAATTAGGGATGCACCGAAATGAAAATTCTTGGCCGAAGCCTTTTTTCGCGTCAACGTTTTTCGCATTTTTTCCCCATTTTGCCAATTTTTTTCACCATTGCATAAATTAAATAGCCAAAATGTGCTTTCAAAATATTTACTTAACACTGAATATTTTTTAACATTCTAGCAGACATTATACCAATAAAACACAATTTAACTAAGTTAGTAAAATAATATTTTTTGGGCCATTTTTGAGACCCCCTTCTTGAATCAGGCATGTATTTTTTACTGTACAAATAAATGCAGCCTTGCTGAGCAGAAGAGACTTCTTTTAAAACATTAGAAAATATTACAGATCCCAGTCTGAACACTATGTGTGAATGCTATAATACATTTATTAATAGAGCTGTTGCAATTATTATTATCCTTATTATTGTCTTTTTTATTTTATTTTACAGAACAACAGTAAAATTACAATAATAATATTTATTAATGTTGATGGAGTTCTTGCTTTTTCTCAGCTTTTATTTTGGCAGAAACCCGCAGGACGACTTCAGTGCTTCTTTTTGTTGACAACAGTAAATTTATAAATGATTCTCATTACGAATTTGGGAAGACGTTTGTTGCACGTATCGCATTGTCACATGCCTTGTAAAAATTCATTAAAATGTTACTGAGCAACTGACGAATAACACTATTTCAGCACAGATTTCCCTCGCGCTTTTGACTTTGAACCCTGGTGCCGCGAGCTCATACAGCACTGTTTGAATACATGCAATTCGTGTGTGTATTAGAAAACACAACGTTCTGCAGTTTATTTAATTGTTTAAGGGCATTTCGCGATTTCAGTCATCAGTCATACAGTAACCAGCAACAATCACCCCTTCCTCTTCTCATCGAAGACATGACGTGATGCAGTACTAAACAGTATCTTGCTGTCGGTGCTTGTAATGATTTTTGCGTCTTTCTCTGACACTTTTAAATGCTACCACACTGCTGACATGTTTGCTGCATTAGTGTGCGCCTCTATTTGATCGCGTCACGTCAGTGTTCTGTACAATTTATTCGGTCTTTTCTCTTATTCGGTTGCCGAACATTCGGTGCATCCCTAGTATGAATGCAGCGAAGATCTGCATATTAAAAATAGGAAAACTGCAAATAAATCTACAACAAAACAATGGAGGAATAAACTAATACTATACAGAGTGAATTATAAAGTTATGCATGTTAGGGGGTAAACAAAAAATAATAAGATATTGGGGCCAATATTAAGGAAAATATGACTGTCTGAGTGATTTTAATGTATAAGATTTTACAGAATACAATACAATACAATTTAAACGAGACTAATGTTGTTTAGTTTCTCTGTTGCTTCTTTTTATTTTTAATTTCTTCATTCTGTTTATTTTATCAGCACAGATGGAAAAGATCAGTACATATCAGTACCTGGAAAGCAACAAATAAATAAATATTTTTTGTTAAAATATAATATATACATAATATATATTTAATTTTATTTCTTTATTCTATTTTTTTTTCTTTCCCCAAAAGCAATATATAAAGTACTTAATAATATTCTTCAGAAATTGATACTTTTATTCAGCAAGTATGCATTAAACTAAACAAAAGTGACAGTAGGGATAATGTAAAAAAAAAAAGAATGTTCTATTTTTTTCTCTGTTCTGTTCTTTCCATTTATCAAAAAATCCAGAAAAAAATTTTCCCACAAAAAATATTAAGCAAATGTTTTTAACACTGATAATAATAAGAAAGGTGACGTGAGCTTTGCATCACATGAATAAATTAAATTACATTCACAAAAATATATTAAAATAGCAAAAAGTTATTTTAAATTGTAATATTTCAAAATATTACTGTTTTAGTATATCTTTGATTAAATAAATGCAGCCTGGCTGAGAATACATTTTTTTCAACTTTTAAAAATCTTACAGCCCCCAAACTTGGCATTATCTCAAAATACACAGCTACCAGGAAAAGCGAAGACAGAGTCAATCAATACAGAGACTTGAGATGAATTAGATGAAATACATGGCTGGTTTGCCTTTATGTACCTGGTCGTTTAGCTGTCGTATGTTCTTCTCGATATGCGGCAATAATCCTCTGAAGGTGAACTCCTGGATAAACTGCCGGATGTGGTCGTGGTCGTTCAGGGTCAGGCAGGTTCCTCGAGGGGTCGGGGTGGTGTGAGAGGTCACGCTGGCCTGTTTTTGAGGCCTCGTCATATCCACATTGTTTACAGACTGACTGGCGTTGTTGCTAGGGTAACCGGCATCAGTGGGCTGGTCCAGCTGCAGAGGATGAGTCTCATTGTCATCTGCAAACACGAGAGGACCATCTAATTAACATTAGACAATCATTCAATCAATCTCATCAATATGAGGCTTATAACCAAAATCCCTGATAATGGGGTTCAACTGTGCTGGACTAACCTCTAATGGAGGGATCAAGACCATCTTCCTCTGCGCCGATGTTGTTTTCAACCGCATTACTCACTGCAGATTCTTCATATAGCTCCTATAAAACACCACCAGGGATGAGGAACATTTCATTTAGCTGATCCAATTAAATTTTCCAAATTCAGAGAAATCTAACAGCGATACAACAGAGTAATTCCATAAGGCCAATACATGTTGGACGAAGCAAATAATTTCAGTAATTATTATTTTTTCATGACATAAGTAAGTCTCTAACTACAATAATGTAATTTTAGTTTTACAAATTCACATTCACTGTAAAAATTATGACCTGCAATTGTTACCTTAAAGTTATTTTATACCTGACTTAACCCATAGAATTTAGTTTTGTTGGTATACATTAATGTATTTATGCTGATTCAGCGGTATTAAATATTTTTTACTCGAGTAAAACCAGCTAACTTAAATGTTACTATTTTTACATTAACAAATTTTTCAATGCTGTTTTGTGATAACTTTGTGAAAATAAAGACTGAAAAAAAAAAACGAGGAAATTTTGCACAAAAAAAATAAAAAAATAAAAAAGTATTATAGAAGTTTTACATTATGATCTTTGCGAGTTGACAAAAAGCTAATTATCATAAAAAAGTCAAATGAATATAAGTTTTAAAAAAAAACATGTTTGCCTGCATTTCATGTGACCATTAAGCATTGTCAGAAAGCCGTGAACATGCAAACAATTAAATTATATTATTGAAATATTAACATATTAACAACATTTAAATATTAAAATTCATAGTCGTACTTCAAGGAAATATTTTAGGTTAAATGGGTTCGGCTGACAAAAGTTTGAGAACAATATTTCATAATATTTGGTAAATTAATTTTAATTGTATTGACCACGGTGGAAGAACACTATAAAAATGTAGATTATTACGTGTAACATTCTTTTTATATTATAATAAAATATTTGTGATTTGTTCCACCAAGGTCCATAAATTTATTTAGTAAACATAAAATACTGCATTGCACTTACACCCTGAATTTGCAAGGTTTTAGTTATCAAAACTTAATTTTTGGCCACAATAAGCTGCTATGTAGACCAGACCTTATGACGATAATCAGAAGTTTAGGAGTTGTATGTTCAGAGCCTGAAGTGAGGTTGTGGCACTCACAGGGTTGTGTATGCTGGTCTTGTGTAAGTACTGACTCCAGGGGTCCGGCATCTGTTCGTCCGCACCAGTGCTACCACTCCTGGAGTTTATCTTGAGCAGATAGCAGCCCTGAGTACCATACCGCTGTTTCATGTCCTCGTACACAGAGTCCGCCCTGAGAGACACAGAGACATCAATGCTTGTTCTATACCATCATAAATATATATGACAGCCTAATCTTTCTCCCCACAGTCAGCTTATCTTCTATTCATCAGACTTTGAGGCTGCAGGCAGCATACGATTACCGTGATTGGCAACTTATCTATATGCAGACAACTCTCTGAGGAAGAAGTGGATGACGTCAAAAATTAATATTCATAGAAAAATGCTTTGCAAATGCAGTTCATGTTGCTTTTAAGATTCATTTTTATTTTACTCATACTACTTTCTCTAATTAAATGTATGCAATTACAAAGGAGAAGCAGAAATGTTTTCTCCTGACATCACTTTAGTTTTAATCCCTGAGGCAGTGTTGGATACATGTTTCCAGTGTTAATCAACTCTGTTCGTTTAATTGCAGAATCAGAACAAGCAGTTGGAATATCAAAAGCGTTGAACTGCATTCAAAGCATTTATGATTCACTAGGTGCTGGCCATTTATTCCAGACATCAGCTACATTCTAAAAGCGGTTTAATTAATAATTATTTTCCAGTGAAAGTAACAATGATGAATCGTGAGAGAATGCATGCTCACATACACGCAGCTCTATGCAAATGCACACAAAAACACAAATAAAAGTAATTAAAGAACAAAAAGTTATCAAGTTAGTTAAAAAGTTAAAGTCCATCCCCTGTTGTCCTCTCATATAAAAATTTTATGGATAAAAAAAACTCATGAAGCCAGAAGCAATGGTTTAAAATTAAAAATGTCTTAATTATGGATTTGTTTCAAACACACAGCTTTTACTTCACAAGATGTCATCGACAGACTGGAGTTGTGTGAATTGTGGATTATTGTGATGTTTTTATCAACTGTCTGGTCTCTCATTCTGACGGCACCCATTCACAGCAGAGCATCCATTGGTGAGCAAGTGATGCAATGCTAAATTTCCAGAATTTTCTTAAGAAATAAAAAAGTCAATCATTTTCAAAGAATTGCACTTCTTACAAACGTCTTAAAATTTTTCTCTTTTTTAGTGTTTAGTGTCTTTACCCCGGTTTCACAGACAGGGCTTAAGCCTAGTCCAAGACTAAAATGTAAGTCTGAGCTGTGTCAACTGAAAGAAACTTGAACTGACTGATCTTAAAATATATCAGTGCCTTTGTTTTGGCTCAAGATGCACACACCAGTAATGTGTCTTCTAAGGCACGTTTATGGAAAATTACTTAAATGTCCTAATTGAACTATGGCCTAATCCTGTCTTAGTCTAAGCCCTGTCTGTAAAACCAGACCTTAGTGGTTAAGGTTTTAGTGACTCATCCCCCTATTTTTATTTTTTTTTAAATGAACTCACTGGAGGGGAAGATTTTGAGTGAATAATGACTTCAAATTAAGACTTAGAATACAGTTTTATGGACTATTTTTATGGTACTTTTACATTCTTTTTGGAACCAACCTTTATAACTATAAACCGATGTTGCATGTTTGGAATGACATGAGGCTGATTAAATAATGACAGCATTCACATTTTTGGGTGAACTATCCCTTTTACCATTATGTGTGGCATGTGTGACTGTTTGACTGTGTAAAAGTTTGGGGAAAAAAACTAAAGAAGAAAACATAACCAAGGAAACAAGCAACACAGGTATAAGAGAACACTTAAGACACACACACACACACACACCTCTGCTCGTCTCCTTCACTGATATCATGAAGCAGGACATAATATTTGAGCGTGTTGGGGATAAACCATTTGGGATGAGTGTATTCCCCACTGTGCTGGATTCGGTGCTGTTCCTGTGACAGCTTGAGGAACTGCTCTGTCGGCACCGCCTCACAGGACGACACCACCAACATACCTGCAGCCGAGTTCAGGAGATCTCGCAGAATACAGATGAACAAAACTGAGATTGACAGAAAAGGGTGCTATACTGTGCTTCTGTGTACATCTTTTTTAAAAACCAATTAGGTCAAAAATCTGGCCAGACTGGGTAAAAAAAAAAAGTCTGGATTTTTCTTATTGTTAGCAAGCGTGATTCACTACCATTCAAAAGTTTGGGGTAAGTAATCATATTGGAATGATGTGATACGTAATAATACGTAAAATCAATGGGTGATTTTTATTGTAGTTTTGATCAAATAAATGCAGAGTTTGGTCATCAATAGACAGTGCGGATTATAATTTATAATTGCCAGTTTATTAAATCATTTACTATAGAAACTATACATCATGACATGATAGCAGTCTTAGCTGAATGTTATATATGGTTCAAATTTCAATGCGTCCCTCGTGGTAAAGAAAGAGGAAAAACACAAGCATAAAAAGAAATGAGGTAGAGTTTTTAGCAAAGAATCTGGAAGGATACAGGCCAGGTAGTGGTTGAGGAACTCGTGCTCTGATGCTGGCATGGACTGCAGGAAGTTCTCCCGATAAGTCTCAAACCATGGTGTTGTTGCTGTAAGATAAACACAAAGAAATATTGTCTTGTTCAGAAACAAGATTATTACAGGCCGTGTGACCGCCCTCCAGGCGGAAGAGGAGAGAAGCACATTATGAAAGCCAAGACGAATAGAAAACCCCCCAAGAAATGCAAGAAATTATAACAGATCACATTTTTACAGCAAGACTATTTTACAGCAATAAAACAGAAATATAATTCAAGAATGTTTAAATCCAACAATCTAATACTTTCCCAATCGTTTATTTAGATGTTACTACAGTTCTTAAAAAAAAAAAAAAGTGGCACATAAAAGCTCTTTCTTATCCTGCAAATATAAAGCATAAAGATCAAGGTCACATGAGCGAAATATTGTGTGCAAAAAAGTCTATTGTCTATTGTTAACAATGTAGAGATGTATGCTTCCTGTTGGGTTTACGAAGCAACTTGAACCGGTTGCAAAATCTTTTGGCGAAATTCCTGTGTGGATTCTTATTGAAATTACTAGATTTGTCCCACAGACATTCGCACCTTAAATCACTTTGAACACTTAATGACCTAATCTGCATTCAACCCTTTTTTTTAAAAGAGAAACAGGATGTTCAAAACAGGTTGAAACATTAGTATTCATGATCAATTTTCATGATCAATTTTAATTCTATCCAGCTATGAGGGGAAGATGAGGATGCACTGATTTTTATGCTCCAGCTTCATTAGCTGAGTTCCTTGACATTTCGTCTAAATCAATGGCCCCCTCAGAATCATTCATGACAATAAGCACACGGTATGCACTTCAGAGAGGGTAGAGCTTGTACACCATATCTACACTACAAAACAACAAAACCATATCACTTTCATTAAAATCAATGAAGCGCACCACTTGGCTGCAGTAGCGCTGGTAATTATAATTACAACATTCTAGTGAGAAGAAATAGGCTAATTTAAATACTTTTTCTTTAACTTTTATTTGTGCTCTAAAGCAGAACTTTTTTTTTTGGACCAAGGTCCTAAAAAGGTCCAAAGTCTATCCTATGACGACATTTGTACCATGTACCATATTAATGTTTTATACAGACTTCGTTCAGATACTTATATTGCAAAGATTATTTTATTATTTAAAGCAAACATCATTGTTCATAAAACTTGTACACTGTACTTAATATTTTTTTATGTAGGAGGGACAATGAAATATTTAACTGAACTTTACCTGTTAATACTATTTTTGGATAATGAACATTGTAATTAGCATACCCCCTGCAGTAATGCTGTTAAAGCATTTTTAATCATAATTACAATTATTAATTTGAAGTAACCTCTATAATTCATAATATGAAGTGATTAAGTATATCTCTAAAAAAATGATGTCTCAAAACCAAACTTAAAACCAAAACTTAACCAAACATTTTTGAAAAAGTGTTTTGCACATCCTAAATAAATACATAGTAAAGAAAAAAGTAAAGAAAAAAATCCAAACATTTAAATAATCACCACATTTTTTACTCAACAGAGCATTAGTGTACCAATGCAGTGTTTAAAAAATGTTTATATTGTATGCTACAGAAAAACCTATTAATTGTTTGACTGATAGATATCTTGCCAAATACAGTGAAAAAATGTGGTTTAAATTGGTTTAACTCTGCATTATGTCACATACAGTCATATTTATGGTTGTTGGAAGTAAAAACTTTGAATTACCATAAACTTTTTGTTAAAAACAGTAAAAGGACATTACCAGAAGTCATTGAATGACAAAAATATATGAATATATTTTATTTAAATAATTTAGCTTATTTTTATTGTCATCAGTAATATACATCAGGGTGTTTTGTGTTATATTTTATGTTATTTAGTTAATGTTTATTGCATTATTTGTGTTTATGACCCTGTGCATGTCTACGTATATATGAGTATTGGCCTCGTACAGGCACAAATATGCCAACCATAATACTGGAAACATTGTTACAGTATTTTCTGAATTTCTGGCTACCACAGTTGCTTTTAACTGTAAATTTAACAGAAAGAAACCAATATTTCACATTAAATCAAACTGATGAACTACGTTAAAATGTATTCTGCTTGAATTCAGAAAAAGCGCATGTAAAGTCAATCTCTACTTCACAGCAAAAGGAATGATGGCTCTAAAGAGGAAAAGAAACTAGGCTATAAAGTGAGACACATTCTGACTGAATGGGTAAAATGACTCATTGAACTAAAATCTCACAAACAAACTGAACCCAAACATTTCTGAAACAAAAAAAAATTACACTTAAATTTCAGTCAAAACTGATTGTCAATTGGAACACTAACTATTTGGATGTACAGTAACTGAAGAGATCGCCAATCCATTATTTGACAAAGCTATGAACACGTCTACCACTGAGAGTTTCAGCCCAATGAGTCTCAAACACACACAAAGCTAAAGAACCACCACCAACATCATCAGAAAGTGGAGGAAGCTGGATTGGAAAGAGGAAAGAAGATTTAGTGACAGTTCTGCTACAGAGCGAGCCGGGCCGGGAAATGACGTGGAGAAGGCGACCGAGGAAAGCCCTCTCGCGCACTCCCAGCAGGGGAAGGAAGGCAATACCTGTGTAGTACTTGGACGAGCTCAGCTGGGTGAGTGTTTCTTTCCAGTCAGAGTACCAGGGAACGCTCGCTTTGACCGTGCGGTCTGAGAGGAGAAGAGACAGGCAGTCTGGTTAAAGCTCACGGACAGGAACCACAGAAGCGTAAGGCATCCAAAACCAAAACACAACCCACCCCAAACCCTGCCGATGCACCTGTGATCTGCACAGACAAAATGTCAAGACCAATTGCTCTTTGTGTTTGTAAAAAATTGTCCGTTTATTTTAGATACTGATATTTGCAATGCTTTTCTACAATCTTACCAGGAGCTAAAATACATCATAAGATCGAGAATGGGTGCCGTCAGAATGAGAGTCCAAACAGCTGATAAAAACATCATAATAATCCACCAAATTAATCCACATGACTCCAGTCCATCAATTAATGTATTGTGAAGCGAAAAGCTGTGTGTTTGTAATAAACAAAACCATCATAAAGGCGTTTCCATTTTAAACCGTCGCTTCTGGCCAAAATAGAAGTCTGTAATCCATTATAACACTTCCTCCAGTGAAAAAGTCCATCCTTTGTTGTTCTCTCACATCAAAACCCACAGACTTATTTGTTTAAAACTGTTCTGGATGGTTCTTGGTTGTAAATACTCCTTAATCTGTGCATATTTCTCTCCTTATTCAGACAAAACGTAAGCAGCGGTTTGACGTTTAAAAAAATCTTAATGATTTGTTTATTACAAACAAGCAGCTTTTCAATTCACAAGATGTTAACTGACGGACCAGAGTCATGTGGATTACTTGTGGATTATTGTGGTGTTTTTATCAGCTGTTTGGACTCTCATTCTGACGGCACCCATTCACTGCAGAGGATCCATTGGTGAGCGAGTGATGCTAAATTTATCCAAATCTGTTCAGATGAAGAAACAAACTCATCTACATCTTGGTCGGCCTGAGTGCGATTAGATTTTCAGCAAAATTTAATCTTTGGGTGAACTATTTCTTTGACTTTTATTTTCTGTGAACTACCCCTGGCTGGTGTGACTGAGTGGAGGCGGGGCTAATTTGCATATTCATAGATCTGCATATAGTAAATGAGGCAAGGGTGTAGAGTTACATTCAAGCTATTTTAAGGCATGAGAAAAAAAAATTCACAAGAAAAAAAAACATTTAAATATGTATTTTAGATGATCGAAGATTAGTTTTAACGGATAACATTTTTGACTACAGGGGAACTTTAACAGAAGTGAACTTTGACAATGTGCTAAACTGAGTTCGCACTGCAGACCCAGAAAGCAAATGAGCATTATTCTAAAATCACATTTTCCTGATTAGCTTAGACATGGGCACGTTCAGTTGGCATCTCCCGCTGTGTGAAAAGGCAATCTACTAAATGTAGGATAATGAAGTAGACTGAAAAATTACATATAATGAACAACATGTAACATACTTCGCCCTTGAAACATACATAAAACACAAACTACTGGTACCAGTTCTAGCAGAAGCAGAAGTAAAAAAAATAAAAATAATGGAGTTGGATGTTTCTAGAGAAATCTATTGGTCAGGGTGAGTACAGCACACACACAGCAAACCAATGCTTTAAAATCAACATGAAAGACCATTCGCAACCCCTCTTCCTTCCATAAAGTGACACACTTCTGAGGGAAACAGAACGCTGTATGATCAAATTTAGAGTGCAACGTCCTTTTTGTTTCGTTCAGAATGTATTGGATTGTGAAAAGCAATCAGAGCCCTGAAAGTGAGTTTGCAGATTGTGGATGGGATGATCATTTTGTTTAAGGAATCAGGCTTTATTTAAGTCTCTACCTGCTGGGAACTGGAATAATAGCTTAGATATGAAGGCTAAAGGTCAAGTTCACTTTCAAAAGCATCTTTTGAAAAGGTAACTTCCCCCATTCCCCCGTTACATTACTTTATTCTGCATGTAAATCTGTAAAATTTTGGAGAGGATGCTTTACTAAGCCTAAAGCAATGCCTAGCTACTTGGCTATTGGTTAACCTTAATTTACCCGCCCACCGGTCCTAGATGACATCACCTAAAAATAAAAGTTGTTTCAGAGCTGGAAGATGTTATTTTTATTAACATTTGGAATGATGTGCACTGATAAATAATGTGCAATACAGTGTTGATATTGTTCACTAAAAACGAATTAAAAGTTTATTAAAATAGCATTTGTATTACTTGAAACAATGTTGATGTAAAATAAAATATAAAAATGACATGAAAAAATATCATCTTAAACTTGAAAAATTAAAAATTTTGTCTTGGCTACTAACTTAAATAAATTTAAACTGAAGTAACATTAGTAAAACTGAATTTGAAAAGTTACTAAAATTTAAACTAAAATGAAAATGAAAAGTAAAAATAAAAATAAAAAGCTATAATAATAATAATAAAGCTTACTCAAAATATAAAATTAAATATAATTAATTAATATTATTATAGTTAATTTATTCATTCATAATATAAATAACATATTATAACAGTACATATAATACTAAAATAACTGACACAATAAGAACAGGAATATATTATGCATTTAAGTACGTAGGAACAGTTTTGATTTCATGTTGAATTTAGAGCATAGAGTTTTGAGACCTTAGCTTTGTAGTCAAACCAACCAACCGTGAAGTTCACATATTCAAGTATGCTAACGCTGCTGTTTGTTGCATCTTGACTCTGTTCTCATATTCAGGTGCAATATGTTCATTCAGTTAAAAGGAGGATGCTGCTGGTGTAGAGAGGTGTGTTAGTATCTAAATCTCAGGTGTTTGTTGTTAGGCCCACCAAAGTGAAGGGTGCAGCAAAGGGACCACGTGGGGGACGGGCTCTACTGGGAGCCTAGGATCTGAGTAGGGACCAAACACTTCACGTAACAGCACAGCATAGCACACGTGTGTGACCTGGCATACACACACCAGAGGAAAACATGTGTATGAGGGTCAGAGCTCTTACCAAGAATTCATCCACAGGAGAAGTTGGAGAATGGGGGGGGAAAGAAAAATTGAAAAAAAAAAAGAAAAAAAAGATCAGAAATGATAAAACAAATGTGTAATGCAAACCAAACCCTTTAATTTCATGGACAATTACAACATTTAATTCTCACTTTTCCCCTCAAGGGCTTTGCTGCCCTCATCAGGTGCTGACATGAGAAACTACTATGAAATGAGTCTCATTCAAAAAAAAAATTTGATATTAATAATGTATTAAAAACTTTCATAAAATGTTTACAAGCCCCCTGCACCTATAATTATCTTTTTTTTCTTTTTTCTGACATAATTATTCTTTCTTTTTTTTTTGACAGTGAGATCCAAACATTTTTCTGTCCAGAAGAAGCTACACAACATTTTTTTTTTATTATTTTCATATTGCTTTTCTAAAATGTTTACACCCCCCCCCTGCAGAATCTATAATTATTAGTCTTTTTTTTAGAGATCAAACCATTTTTCTGTCTTTTTTTTTTGTTGTAATTTTCTTATTCCTTTTCTAAAATGTACATACACCTAACAGAAACTATAATTATTATATATATTTTTAATATAGATAAAAGAGTGTTTTGCATTAAAAAAGGATAAAACACCAAAGTATTTCTTTATTTATACAGCTGTTTAACTGCAGACCTTAAATACTACATGACCTTAAATACTATAAAATTTGTATGAATAGTATAAAATCCAAATTTATCCCATTTTCTAAAGGTCTGTCATTACTTTGGAAATTAGAATTATTATTTTTCTGTGCATCATATCACTGTATATTGTGATATATATTGCTACCATAATGAAGAAAACTGTGACTGCTTATATTGCCCACCCATACATGTAAATCCACAGGCAAAACAGCTGACTAATAGTCACATACTTCATAAAACTGATCAACATTTTGGAGATTCTGCAAGGGCTGCGTAAACATATGCTGCATTAGGAAACAATCTCTCAGTTCCCGTTTTTGTTCACTTCAGGCCATTTCCACTTTCCTACTTTAAAAATGTGGTAGTAATATAATCAGGTCCTCTACAGATTTCCCCTGGTGAAGTTAAAGTGTACAGAAAACTCTTTGCAAGCACTTACCGCTGATGTTGAGGTCGTAGTCTCCAGCCGTGATGACGTTGGCGGGCGATCCTTCAGGAGGCTGGCAGACAGAGACCGCCTGGCTGAGGAGTCTGTGCATCTCTGGGGTCTGTGGAGGCCGTGTGTTGATCCCAGTCACGCTGATCCGGAGGCCCTTCACCACAACCACCTGGTTATTGGGGTCACGCAGGTGACCTACAGTACGGTAACAGCAGCAAAAAAAAGAAGATGAACTGGCTGGTGTCAAATTAATAATGGTGCTGCTTATTCTTCTGAAGCTTTTTTTCTAGGTTCTAGGTTCTAGACCTAAAGGCCTGTTCACAACTTCACACCAAGAACGATATCTATAAAGATATCTATATTATCAATAGCGATATCTATACTAGGGATGTAACGATTACCGGTTTGACGATAAATCATGATAAAATTCCCCACGGTTAGTATTACCGTTTCATCTTTTAATTATCATTAAAGCCGTATTAGATTACCGCGATTTGAACAACTCGCGATAAATAAATACTGTCCAGCATAAAGCACAGTTTTAAGTAACAGTCTCACGTGCGCACAGCACGCAGAGTAGTTTCGTTTTGAGTGAAAACAGGGCGGAAAAGCTGGGAGGTTTTAAAAGAGTGCTAAGAGAATTATCAAAATGAATATATGAATGAATGAATTAATTATATAAATGTATCTCTGAAGGTTCTGACTGTCTTCAGAAATGATTCGATGGCATTTTGTTTTCATCTTCGCTCCATGTAATACATAATTGAAGTGTTTTTAATCGCAATACTGCTTTGTCCACGGAGGCTACGGGAAACAGCTCTAATTCAGCTTTTCCACAAGCGCCACCTGCTGTCAGCGAGTGGATTTACAGAGACTTATATTTACATTCAGTCTGGGTGCAGTTTCTGTCTGGTCAAAAATGGACCGAATTTGCATGCCCTGCTGTAAATTTTGACCGGTTGATGAAAAACAAGCTTATGTGGATTCTACACATTTAAACAATAAGGTATCTAGTATTATTTATGGAGCAGATAAAATACATATAATCATTTATTAATCAGTTATCATTTTTACTTATATCTTTTTCTTTATTTAAAGGCTGAAATGTGAGGTTTACCTTTTTATTAAACTTTTTCAAAGCTTTATTTGAACATTTACATGAGATATTTCAACATGCTATTAAACTGTCAATCAAGTTGTCATTTAAAATCTGAACATCATTGGTAATGTTATTGTTTTAGTGATTATGCAAACAAAAAATCATTTTATTTGTTGTTTGTTGATTTTTAAATATAAAACTTGGTGAAGGGATTTGTGTGTCGGTACTTTTTTTAACATCACCAGCACATTTTAACAATACCGTGATAATACTGATAACCGTGATAACTTTGGTCACTATAATCGTGATAAGATATTTTCATACCGTTACATCCCTAATCTATAACGATATCTATGAAGTTATCTATAAAGATAACTATATTAGCGTCCACACCAGCAGATGATATCGTCAGTTTATTCTAAGCGCACGCTCATCTGCTGCTTTAAATTCTCGAGCTCGTGATAGCAGGATTGATTCTGATTGGGTGTCAATGTCTGTATCCTTCATCAGGAAAAAAAATCATTCTGAAAGTGATTCCAACTACATGTTTCTCTGTGCCTTTATCGTTATAGCTGTGGTTTGGACTCTGCTATTCTTTAATATTGAGAACGATTTTTAGAACTACATCTTTATAGTTATATTTATAGTTTTTGTTCTTGGTGTGAACGGGGCTTTACACAGTCTAGAACCCAAGGCTGGTTCAATCTGGACCACTTTATCATAAATACATATTTAAATTATTTATTTACACAAAGGAACTGAGCAAAAGTTTGCCATCTGCAAGATTTTTAAAAATGTTTTTGGATGGTCTCTTATGCTCATCAAGGCTGCATTTATTTGATAAAGAAATTCTGTAAAAACAGTAATATTTTGAAATATTACAATTTCAAGTGCCCGTTTTCTATTTTAAGTTTTCTATTAATATATTGTAAAATGCAATGTATTCCTGTGATGCAAAGCTGAATTTTCAGCATCATTACTCCAGTCTTAAGTGTCACATGATCCTTCAGAAATCATTCTAATATGCTGATTTGCTGCTCAAGAATACCATATACCACATAACTTTTTTTTTCAATATTGATAATAATAAGAAATGTTAGGTGCCAAATCAGCATATTAGAATAATTTCTGAAGGATCATGTGACATTGAAGACTGGAGTAATGACTGCTGAAAATTCAGCTTTGACATAACAGGAATGAAGTACACTTCAAAATATATTAAAATAGAAAACTATTCTATTAATATAGAATAACTATACTATTAAATTCACAATATTACTGTTTTTACTGTAATTTTGATCAAACAAATGCAGCCTTGATGAGCATTAGAGGCTTCTAAAATATTAACTAATAAAATTAAATTAAATAAAAAATTTAATAAAATAAAGAAAACTATTAATAGTCAGCGCCAATAGCCTCGTGGGCGCCAACATATGCGCTTCAGGTGTCCCGGCTTGCGGACATTTCCCGATCCCATCTCCCTCTCTCGCTCTCTCCCTATTCACTTCCTGTCAACATACTGTCCTGTCTTAACAAAGGCTAAAAAAGCCAAAAATAAATCTTTAAAAAATATATTTAAAAAAAATAAAAAACTTTTGATCGATTGTGTATCTTGGTCGTTCAATGACTACTGTGTTCACTGTAAACAACGGCAGTTTCCTAAGTTGAGCCAGTTGATCTGATTGCTTGCCTCTTTAGGATTATCCCATATCCTTTACTAGATATAGGCTGGTGATTAACAGCACAGGCCAAACACAGACCTCTCCAGCCAGTCCAGAGGTAATCTAACCCTCACCAATAGAGGCATCTGATCTGTGCTGTGTCTGTCTAAGGCTCTTGTCACTAAATGGTCAGGTGAGCGGAAATCAGATCAGATTTCACAAACAGAGAGATCAAATTCAGATGAATCCGGTTTGAAACCCTTCCTATCATTTGACTGAGGATCAGAGCTGGATTACAGAACAGCCCAGAAGGCCTTACACTATGAAAGGTCTCCAAAGATTTGTGGTACCAAAACTTACTGAGGAAGTACCCCTAGTGCATAAATCGCAAAGAAACAGATAGAGCCCCCGGCCCCTCTGAGCAGAAGACCCTAAGTTTCTTAACACAAAGAGAATTTGCTGACCATTAGAGCCCTGGGCTGACCTCTAAGGCCCCTGGGCCCCTCAGGATGCAGTGCAAAAACTTGAAAAAAAAAAAAGAGGTCTACACTACAGTCTACAAAGACGTCTGCCCAGGGGCCTCACTAGACAAAGAATAGGGCCTAAAAATCTAATGAGCTGCCAACCTAGACTAGCATTTTAAGGTGCATGACTAAAAATTCAGGTCGCTGTTTATCTAAACATTTTTTGGACATGTGTTTCTCAAAAGCTAGTTAGCTGCCTAGATAGGCATCATTTTGGGGCGTGTTTCTCAAAACCTAGTTAGCTGTCAACCTAGACAGAGTTTTTGGGCACGTCTCTCAAAACTTAGTGAGTTCCTTAAGACTCAGAGAAATTGCTGACCATTAGAGCCCCGGGCTCCTTGGCACAGATGGCACAAGATAACCACTAGGGCCCCCAGCGCATAGATAATCTGCTGACCTCTAAGGTCCCGGGACCCCCAGGATGCAGTTCAAAAAAAGGGTGCAGAAAACTATTAGCAAACCAAACATTACTGTCACTTGAAAAAAAGAGGTCTACACTACAGTCTACAAAGACATCTGCCCAAGGGCCTCACTGGACAAAGAATAGTGCCTAAAAATCTAATGAGCTGCCAACCTGGACTAACATTTTTGGGCATGTTTCTCACAACTTAGTAACCTGCCTATTTAGACAGCATTTTAAGGTGCATGATGAAAAAATCCAGTGAGCTGTTTATTGAAACATTTTTGGACATGTTTCTCAAAAGCTAGTTAGCTGTCAACCTAGACAGATCTTTTGGGCACATCTCTCAAAACTTAGTGAGCTGCCTATTTAGAGACAGCACCTTTGGGCGTGTAACTAAAAATCTAGTGACCTGCCTAGAGCCTACTTAGACATCATTTTCAGTGTGTCTCAAATCCTAATAAGCTGCCTTGCGAGAGAGCATTTTTGGGCATGTCTCTCAAAACCTATATTGAACTGCCTAGCTAGACTGTATTTTTCCCGTCTGACCGTTGTAATGGCACCTGGGCTGTTTTGGGCAATGTCCTGGCAGACAGTTCACTAGGTTTTCAGTATGTGTAAGGGAGCTGTCTAACAACCGTCTTATCTAGTGATCATCAGTTGTGGTGGGTGATCCGCGGTTGTCTGACCAGCTGGCCTCTTACCCTCGGACGTCAGGCGGCAGAAAGGCCGCAGCAGCTCGGGGAAGCTCAGGCTGTTTTTGCGGGTCACTCTCTCCGCATCCTCGCTGCACAGGACGGCCACCATCGGCACGAACGAGTCCTGGATGAACTCCTGCACTGACTGCACGCACTGAGCCATGAGAGCACCTCGTCTGTTCTTCACCGAGCTCACGGATCCGCTGCTGAGTTGAAAACAAATACCTCCTTTACTGACAGCCGACGGCAGACATGTTGAAATCTACTGCTGCCTGCTGATCGATTTTGCCCAAGAAGCTTAGCGGCGGTCAGGTGACTTTACTTCCGCAATGACATAAAAGCTCTGCGTCTGCCATAATTAAAGCCCTGGTGTCCCTAAATAACCTTTTAACTTTCGGTACTGAAAAATAGACAAAGACAGGCTGACAGACAGATATACTGTATAGAGTGTTGAATCAACACAAAATTGGTGTCAAAAGGTTTAAAAAGTGTAACATTAACACCACTGGGTAGTGTGAACACGTATATATAAATGACCCTTAACATGTAACAATGATGTTACATTTTATTTAATGGATATTAACACTGACGATGTTGCAGTTTAGATAGATGATAGATAGATAGATAGATAGATAGATAGATAGATAGATAGATAGTGGATATTAACACTGACGATGTTGCAGTTTAGATAGATAGATAGATCGATAGATAGATAGATGGATAGATGGATAGATGGATAGTGGATATTAACACTGACGATGTTGCAGTTTAGATAGATAGATAGATAGATAGATAGATAGATAGATAGATAGATAGATGATAGAACGTAGGTGAAACCAAAAGTTACAGCTCTGTCAATATTAAAGACCCCGAGTCGCATCACTACATATTTGTTTACAAAATTAGTACTTTTCAGGTTAAACCGGTTCTATATTTATCATCATGAAAAGAAAGCTGCTGAAGCAAACAGAATACACTCCCTCTTTATGACAATAAGGAAGTTGGGCTGCATTTAAGCTGTACAACCTAAGTGAAGGTATCAGAAGAGACTAGACTGCCAGTAGACAGACAGACAGACTAAACAGCAGACGATTTAGACATGTCCACTTCAGAGGAAGAGTGTCCTGTATGCAGGGAAAACATACAGAATCCTTCTCAACCATCTCCATGCTGTGGAAAAGTGTAAGTGTGGCTTATATTTGACATAGATGGGGATTTTGACATCATGTGGAGACTTTACAAACTGACAAACTTGTGGATCAAACTTGTAGGCATTTAACATCATTTAACATATGCTAATGCATAGTTTACAATTTTATACAGTAATGCCTTGTATAAAAATGTGTAGTTGTAAAATATATTTGATAAGTGATTGTAAATCAAACTCATTAAATAAATCAAATTTTCTCCAAAAAGTGCTTTTGTAGTTGGAAACAGCTTTTATGTTGGACATTTATTTTATTTGTTGTTTTTTTTCATGTGCTATACATTTGCAGCCTCTCCTTATTCACAAGTACATATCATTTCTGATAAATAACCTGAGCATTTACTGGCAGCAAAAAGCGAAAGTATTTCTAAAGGGAAATTCCATCACATGGCTGGTTGACAAAGATTACCAGCCTTGCCAGCCAATCTTTTATCTTCATGTTGATAGTAGTTGATTATTTTATGCTCTCTCACAAGTACATTTGTCTCTCTTTGTACTTTCAGAATTTGCCAGCGATGCCTCAGTCAGTCTTTTCGATACAGGGCTCATTGTCCACACTGCAGAAGCTCAGTAGACAACCGTGATTATGCAAATAATCCATTCCTAGTAAGTAAAAACCTAGTAAAGTGAGTAATAAATATCAGTCTCTGTGAGTGGAGGTCATCAAGGATTGCATGCTTATGTATATTTTTTGTTTCAGCCTCCTGGTAGGAGGAGGCATCTGCACCCAATCCTGCCAGGGGATTTTAATTCAAGAAGACCTGTTGGTGCAAACATACATACGTAAGTCCCAGGCCAGTTTCATTATTTAGTGTATTTTCTGTCAAATGCTAAAGAATTCATCATTTCTTTTAAACCAACAGCCTCCTCGGCCAACTTCGAGATTCACTGGGACAACAGGCAGACACTGCTGCTCAAGCCAGTCCACCCAATCAGGCTGCAGTGCCACCCACCCCACAGAATCAAGCCCCTTCCCCTTTAATTTCCTCTGCACGGCCCGTTCCTATGCCTCGGATCAGAGCTCCACTTGCAAATTTAATTGCTGCCCCACAACCTGCACCCATTACTGTTGCCCCAAGTGGTCTTATCCAAGTCCTCCCGCCACCTGCCCCAGCTCCACTGCCGCTAAACCCCGCCCTGTCCCAGGATAATGGGCAGGCTGCAATGGATGAATGGTAAGTCCCATCAAGAGGATAATTATTTGATTGATATTATGGTTTGGATAACTCATATTTTGTTTCACTCACAGGCCATGGCAAACGGAGATCACTCTAATGGAGATTAATCCACAACCACAGGGGTGAGGACATCTGTTTATTCACTTCTGTTCACGAACACACTACATTGCCTAAAGCTTGTGGAAAACTCCTTTTAATTAACATGCTTGGTTATTCCAGTAGTTCAACAAATCCTAATCATAAGGCACACAATGACGGGGGTTTTCAATCTTTAAGATGCCATGCACAGACCCCCAAATAGGATCATTCTTAGGACTCCCATCCTAAAATTTAAAAGGCAGCTAAAATATCAGCTATATATTTTCATATATGTGTCCCTGGACCACAAAACCAGTCATAAGTCACACAGGTATATTTGTAACAATAGCCAAAAATACATCGTATGGATCAAAATTATAGATTTTTCTTTTATGCCAAAAATCATTAGGATATTAAGTAAAGATCATGTTCCATGAAGATATTTTGTAAATTTCCAACTGTGAATATATTAAAACTTAATTTTTGATTAGTAATATGCATTGCTAAAGACTTCATTTGGACAACTTTAAAGGCAATTTTCTCAATATTTTTTTGCACTCTCAGATTCCAGATTTTCAAATAGTTATATCTTGGCCAAATATTGTCCTATCCTAAAAAAAAACATACATTAATGTAAAGCGTATTTATTCATAAATCTTAAATCTGAATTAAAAAAAACTGACCCTTAAGACTGGTTTTGTGGTCCAGGGTCACATATAATGTATATAGCAATCATATATAATATGTCCAATCCAAATACTTTCATACTTGTTTACTTTAATCATTTTTATTATTTATTTTAATATATTTGTATTTATTTTAATCTTCTATTATTATTTATTTATTTCAGTATTCATTTATTTATTTAAATCTTTTTTATTATTTATTTTTTATTTTTTCTCTAAAATTTACACGGATCCCTTATTACCCCCATTGCGTTCCCCTGAAAACCCCTGTTCTAGATGACTGTACCTGGACAACAGCTTGGAAAACCCCTTACTGTGCACAAAGTGAAAATGAAAATGACATTATTTTACTACATCTCTTGCTAAACTGGTGCTTACAACACTTTCATCTCATTTTTCTTGTCCACAAGCTTTTGTCCAAAATATAGTGTACAATCCCATGATATAATGGGATTTACACAATCCAAAAATGTCGCTATTTCAAAATAGTATTTATTTATTTTGGCATATCTTTTTAGAAAGATAGTCAATAAGATCATTATTAAAAATAAAGGTACTTTATTGGCATCTATGCTACATGCAGAACCTTTAAAATTCCATTGCACAAAAGGTTATTTATAGTGAAAAAAAGGGTTCTTCAGATTATTTGGGGAACCCAAAATGATTCTAAAAACGATTTCCCATTTTAGAACCTTTATTTTTAGCAGACTTAAGCATTTTGCTAAAAACACATTTAAAAATACAGTCTTTGACATGCACTAATTTTCCTGATTTTTTCTTTCTTTTCAGTTTAACTGTGAGGACTTTTGTGTGTCCGTACTGCCAGGAGAATGGACTGGATGAACTCGATCTACGTGATCACTGCAATGAACATCATGCCAATGACAGCAAACGAGTGGTCAGTCACCATTCATGTGTATACTGTACATCACGTCGAGTGATTCTAATAATTAATCATGTGTTGAATTAAACTTACAGCACAATCGTTTGAAACATTAAGTAGTTCCTTTCAGTTATATTTAAATCTGAAGTGAGTAATTCTTATCTTTAGCATCACCAAACTGATTTTTCAAACTGTTTTGACAATTTTGAAACTTGATTACAGAACACTCCCCCTATCTATTATTGGTTTGAAAAAAACAGATTGTCCCACCTCAAATTCACACTATTGATGGAACCAATGTTGCAAAATGGTTGGTTGTGATGCTCATACATACACAGCAATGTTTTGATAGCTCTAAAAGTCACAGTGCTACACTTTTCAGGGGGGATCAACCTATAAATGGCTTACTTTTATTTTAACATCCCCAAATTACACACTTCAGTTTTAAATGACTCAGTATTGCTGACTGCTATAGTATCAGAAACAGAAAAACCAGCAAGATTGTGTGTGTGCTCTCTGGCGCCCTCTAGGTGTGTCCAGTGTGTGTGCAGACGCCCCATGGTGATCCACAGTACTACAGCCGCAACTTCATTGGCCACCTCAACCTGCGCCACTGCTACTACCTGGACGATATAACTGTAAGTCATGTACATGTACACAAATCAAAGAACTTTTCCCCAATAAATGTATTCACACACATGTCAATGTTTAACTGCAATCCTTTATTTCTATGAACCACAGAATCTCAACCAGACTGATGAGATGAACGTTCAGTGTGCAATTCTAGCATCATATAGGGACAGTTTTTAAACCTCATTTTCAAAAAGATGACAACACAGTTCTCAGGTGTTTTTCTGGACAACATCTTAAAAAATGCTTGGGAAGAAGATTCTGAACCACAACGACATAAACTATTGAGAAATCAGTCAAAGAAATGGTATATTGAGGATGTGATATTGATGTATTTTACCAAATGTATGTAAAATATAATATGTGTATATGTTGGATTTTTTTTTTTTTTTGATTGAAATGCTTTTAAGGCAACTTAAAATGCTTGATTATCTGATTATGAGATATTTTAAGAGGTAATGCATTTTCATATGCTATCTGATGCATCTCAGGTGTTGATCATGCCTTTAAAATTACTAGTAATGGTTTATCTGCCAAAAACATTTTGTACAATTGATCTCTTCTTGCACTTTCTTTTCAGATAAAATATTTATTGCATGTACTGCACACTTATGTTTGTGATATTGTTCGTGGGATTTACTTTTGTGGGGAAAATGTTTGAATGAAGGGGTCAAGTGACATCAGACTCTGTAAATCTATTTATGCTGCAACCCAATGTATAAAAAAAAGTGCAACAAAAGTTTTAATACAATAATCTACTGTGAAAAAGATAATTTTTCATCACAGACTGCAGAAAATGTGTGCAATTAAAGAAATCGTTCACCCAACTATGAAAATTTACTGAAAATTGACTCACCCTAAGGCCATCCAAGATGTACAGTAGATTAGTTTTTTTTTCTTTATCTGAACAGATTTGGAGAAATGTAGCATTGCATCACTTGCTCGAAGTGTTCCTCTTTGTCACACACTCCACAGATGCTCTGTATGCTTGTCTGACCTTCTTGCAAGAATAAACCTTCTATTTTCTTAATCTACAATACTCTCCGAGTTATTGCCTCACATTCAGAGTTGAAAACATTTTTCCACTACATCTCTGGCAATGATGAGATTCCGTGATTGTTTCGTCTGGACCCAGGGATGTCGGTTGACTCTTCTACCCTGCATCATTCAGGGAAGAGAGGGACTGGCATCAGTGGGCCTGGACCTTCACCGCCAGAATCCAGGAAGAACCTGATTGAAAATCTGCATGAAATCTGGTGAGGTCTTTTTAATTCAGCGTGTTTGTTTATAACTGGAGAAGGTTTGCTGTTCTTGGTTACCACATACCTCAGGGCTGCTGTAGTTTCAGATTTGAAAGACAATCTGGTACCGGGCAAATCAGGGAAACAGTTTGCAGACTAGACTCAAGGGGGAGTCTAGTGCTCATTTGGAAGATAATCTGGGCTCCTTATGACTGGTGGATACACGGTGCGCTTTTCAAGAGGTCTGAAATACCGGGCAGTCGGGGAAACAACTTGCCCCTCATGGTGACAATCACGAGGGTAAATTGCAGCTGCAGGGAAACAGAGACTCAGGTTGAATGGAGTGGTAAGTGCTGACAGCAGTGCTCTGTTGGATGGATACCATGGGTTTCTAGAACAAGGCAAGGCAAGGCATTCTTTTTTCTAAAGCACATTTAAAACAGCAGCTGCTGACCAAAATGCTGTACAATCTAAAAACATAAAACGATCAAATACACACTAAAAGAAAATATAATACAATAAAACAGAAACTAGCAAGAGAACAACCTGATTAATAAAATTACATTGATCCAAAAGCCAGAGAGAAAAGATATGTTTTCAGCGAAGATTTAAAACACTCAACATCGGATGAAAACCTAATGTGTACCGGCAGATCATTCCAAAGTCGTGGAGCAGCAACAGAGAAAGCACAATCTCCTTTTAACTTCAAACGTGCCCGTGGGACTGTCAGTATCAAACTGTTTGAGGACCTTAAGGGCCTAGAACATTTCCGATGGACAAGAAGATCAGAGATGTATTGTGGAGCCTGGCCATTTAGCCCCTTATACACATACAATAAAACCTTAAAGTTAACACGGTATTCAACTGGCAGCCAATGAAGAGAAGCCAGAACAGGCGAGATGTGTTCCCTCTTTCTAGCTCCAGTAAGAAGCCTGGCTGCAGCATTTTGTACCATTGTACAATTGTACAAAGCATATAGCGCTTTCATTAAGTGTAGAGCGCTACTTTTGATTTATTCATTCAAGATTTGCCAAATTCTGTGACATTCTGCGTTATACTGTAAATTCCATTTTAATGACTGGATTCCGCGATTTCCCTCTGCATTTTCCACATCGCGGAAATCATACAGACCTAAAATTATTTCGTGGACCCCCTGGCTATGAGTCACGGACCCCACTTTGAGTCCCCTGCCCTAGAGCATCACTTTATTCTGACCTTAAGGGCCTAGAACAGTTCCGGTGAACAAGAAGATCAAAGATGTATTGTGGAGCCTGGCCATTTAGCCCCTTATACACATACAATAAAACCTTAAAGTTAACACGGTATTCAACTGGCAGCCAATGAAGAGAAGCCAGAACAGGCGAGATGTGTTCCCTCTTTCTAGCTCCAGTAAGAAGCCTGGCTGCAGCATTTTGTACCAATTGAAGTCGAGATAGAGAGGACTTAGCCACACCAAGATACAGGGAGTTACAGTAGTCCAGCCTGGAGGAAATAAAAGCATGGATCACAGTCTCCAAGTCCCTTGGTGATCAAAATGCTTTCAATTCCGCAATGGATCTGAGATGATAAAAGCTGTTCTTCACTACTGAGTTAATTTGTTTGTCAAATTTAAGACCACTATCAAAGATCACACCCAAATGTTTTGCATGAGAATGAGAATTCACAGATAAAGGATCCAAATTGTCATTTATATGTATAATAGATGCTGGAGGTCCGAAAACTGCAATTTCAGTTTTAGAATAATTTAATGTTAGAAAGTTGGCTGCCAACCAGCATCTTACCTCTGCTAGACAATTTAATAAAGAATGCATATCATAATTATCCCCATGATTCAAAGTGAGGTACACCTGTGTGTCATCAGCATAAAAATGGTAATGAATGTTATACTTTTGAAAAATCCTGCCTAAAGGGAGCAAATAAAGTGAAAACAAAAGTGGGCCCAAAATTGATCCCTGAGGCACACCGCAAGTTAATGGTACAGAAGTGGAAGAAAAATTCCCAACCTCCACCGAAAATGTTCTATCACAAAGATAGGATTTAAACCATTTCAATGCAGTACCTTGAATTCCTACACAATTGCTCAACCTTTCAAGTAAAATGGCATGTTAGAATCATTTAATGTTAGAAAGTTGGCTGCCAACCAGCATCTTATCTCTGCTAGACAATTTAATAGAGAATGTATATCATAATTATCCCCATGATTCAAAGGGAGGTACACCTGTGTGTCATCGGCATAAAAATGGTAATGAATGTTATACTTTTGAAAAATCCTGCCTAAAGGGAGCAAATAAAGTGAATACAAAATTGGGCCCAAAACTGATCCCTGAGGCACACCGCAAGTTAATGGTACAGAAGAGGAAGAAAAATTCCCAACCTCCACCGAAAATGTTCTATCACAAAGATAGGATTTAAACCGATTCTTGATAAACAGCGGTCTTGACAGGTAGCATCCCATTGAACGATTTGTCCCTCTCTCCAGGAAATGCGTGGGTTGTGGGTGCGCAACCAGGGTAATCCAAGAATGATAGCATGATTGGGAGACTGGATGACATAGAATTTGATATATTCAGAATGAAGGGTTCCTATTTGTAGTTTGACTTCTTCGGTGATACGGCAGGAGGATATCATGTGCCCAGCCTGACCACAGTAGAGGCACAGTAGGTTCTGCATTGGGCGTTCACGTTCCTCGGGAGTGAGGTGAGTGAATCCCAGCTGCATGGGCTCTGTTACAGTATTGGTCTCTGGCGTAAATCGAGGCATGGATCGGGTAGGACGTCGTGAGCGGATCAAATTGTCAATTTGAATGGCGAGTTCAATGAATTCACTCAAACTTTTCCCCTCATCTCGGCAAGCCAACTCTGACTGGAGCTCCGAATTCAGTCCCCTCCGAAACAGGAGTTTTAATGTGTCCTCGACCCAAACTGTCTGGGCGGCAAGGGTGCGAAAGGACAGGGCTTACTCGGCCGCTGGTCTCCTTCCTTGCGAAAGTGTTAACAGTTGGTCACCTGCACTTTTCCCCTCCGCAGGATGTTCGAAGACTTCGCGAAAGTGTTGGAGAAATGTTGTGAAGGTGGGAAATGAGGAGCCGTCCATTCCCCAAACAGCGGTAGCCCAATCCAGCGCCCTCCCGGTAAGCAATGAACACACAAAGGCAATGCGGCTAGAGTCCGAGGGGTACAGTGAGGGCTGTTGATTAACAAAAAGCGAACACTGAAGCAAGAACCCTTTGCATCTGGCAGGGTCTCCATCAAATTTCTCTGGGAAAGCTAGTCGTGGGCTCACTGGTGATGTTGGTGATGTTAGGGGTGGCGTGGTGTAACTAGGCGCCGGGGCTGGAGCGGCTGCAGCCACGGCTGGCGTTATTTGAAGGCCTTGCAGCACTTTCACTAACTCCTCGGTGAGTGAGGTAAGCTAAATTTACAGTAAGCAATGAACACACAAAGGCAATGCGGCTAGAGTCCGTGGGGTACAGTGAAGGCTGTTGATTAACGAAAAGCGAACACTGAAGCAAGAACCCTTTGCATCTGGCAGGGTCTCCGTCAAACTTCTCCGGGAAAGCTAGTCGTGGGCTCACTGGGGATGTGGGTAATGTTAGGGGTGGCGTGGTGTACGTAGGCGCCGGGGCTGGAGCGGCTGCAGCCACGGCTGGCGTTATTTGAAGGCCTTGCAGCGCTTTCACTAACTCCTCGGTGAGTGAGGTAAGCTAATTTAGTTGGTGGTGATGCATGGCGAGCTGTGTGGCCTGCGCAGATAGCTCAGTGGATAATTGCATGAGTGCTGCTGGATCGCTGTGTGGCGAAGTCTTCTGCTGCGAAGCATCAGCAGAGTCCGGATACATTTGCAGCTTTTATTGAGTAAACAGACAAGACAGGGTCAATCACCAGTAGATACAATAGCGAAGGCTAGGCTGAGACAGAACGTGGGACGGGCAGGAGGTCGAGGCAGGCGGCAGACAAACACAGTAGTAGAACAATCCAAGTCAGGGCAGGCAGAGACAGATCAGTGTACGATAAACAGTCCAAGGTCAAACGAGTAGGCAAGATACAGGGTAAACGCTCAGTAGTGACAGCCGGGGCAAATCAAGACTTCGCAGAGAGCTGATGTGAGTG